TCCAATGGCAATCTTACTTGAGAAAAATCGTTTCCATTTCACTATCCTCTAAACACGGTTGAAAAGAAATTATTCATGTAAAATATATAATTTTTTCACGGCACCGATTCTCGTCGATATATATCGTCTGTCGTGATATCTCTCTCGTCTTTTCTATTTTGGCGATAACAATAAAGTTGATCATTTGCATCGTATTGTCTCACAGTTCTCTTGTCTTGACTCGTTTCTGTCGTCTATCGCGGCAACCCTAGAACTGATTGACCGTCATCTTTCGGACAAGCACAAACTATTTTGAACATATTCTTTATCGGCTTAAGGTCTTGTTTCCTTACCAATTCTCGAGTCATGAGCTTCTTGATGCAAGTAACGACGTTCTTCTTTAGTAAAAGGTTCTTCTATCAGTGTGGAGCGATTTCGATAGAGCGATGATGGTCCGGCAGGAAAATAGATGTCCAATGTGAATTGTTCTGTAGAAACTCCATATTTTTTTCTATTTATTTACGCACTCAATCGTCCATATAATTTTCATCTTAAGCAGTGCAGCAGATTTCTTTCGTCTCTATTTTAAGAATCGTGTGAAATAAGAGGGATTGATAGTATGAAGAGAGAATTAGAAATGACAGCTCTCCCAATAACTCGATAGAAGATCTCAGGTCTGAAAGGACTTGCTTTTCGTCAAATATTTTATACATTTAATCGCAATGTCGTTAACAATTACCTTTACTGCTTTCGAAATTTGAGACATGGCAAAAAAGAGATTCTAAATGAGTCGGTAATACTGGCTATATTATAGTAGAAAAAAGAATCCTCGTTTCAGGCTCGCTTCTTTCGCTGAAAACTACTAATCAATGAAATTATTATCCTAATCGAGGCATCTGTCGTTCACAGTCTGCTATTAGTCCGTTTCTACAATAATTTGAACTACAATGGTAATGATATCATAGCAGGCTAACGGAGAGCAAAGGGTACTTGTTTCCATTCTTCTCTGATACATACATTCCCGAAGAACTTGACAAAATATAAAAGGCCTTGTTTCTCAATAGTAACGTAAACACTGCCTAACATTCACATTCGACTGGTAGTTTCCAATCCAGCTTTTTATCGGGTGTACATTTTTTATTATAGGAAGAAGACAGTTCCTGTCCCAGTTGAAGGAAGTGGGGCGACTACTGAGGCCCATGATGACTACATGACAGAGGAACAGGTAAGTATGAACATTTCTTTCGATAGTCAATATGGAGTAACCCTGGAAAGATCCGAACTCGGAAGCGACACTGCGGAAGACACCAATGGGCAAGGTACATTTGCTCGGGAAGATATAGTATCTGAATCCAGAGATGCCGTAGAAATCCGAACTGCTTCTAATCTATCGTGCTCACCTCTCGACTCCCAAGGCAGCAGTGCAGGAGGATCATGGATTTTGAGGTCAGGTCTGACCGAGGCTGATTTATTGGACAACATAACTAACGATGATACCTCCAACCACCAGTACGAAGCGGAAAACCACAATCCTGAGACACACTATATGGAAAACCTGGGTGAACATTCACAGCCCATGGATGTTGACGACGATGCTAATGAAGAATCAGCATCAATTAGAGATAAACAAAGCTATCAGTCCAATGTGAATGAATTTAGTGGAACAACTGTAGCTTGCGACAGAATCGCAGCAACGCAAACGGGGAATGGTGCGGGACAAGCAATTAGTGAAGACGCTTCCTCGACTGGAGGAGACTTCAAAAATAGTTCAGGAACTCCCGCTGCCCATCCACAGAGAACTATCCTGCGCCCAGGTTTATTGAAAGCTGACTCTGGATTGGCCGCCAGAATTGGATTCACACGTGTCCTGCATACTGTGGAAATTGCAGGGGAGAGCGAAGAAAGCCAAGATTCTTTCATGATCGGCGGATTACCGGCGTTGGCTGTAAGTGAGAGTGTAGCGAAAGCAGACAGTAGATCAATGCATTCAGAAGAACGATCTGATAGTGGTAGCATTGCAACAATCGGAAGTGGCCGAGGTAGATATTCCTCAGAACGGACGAGTGTGTTTTATCGAGATCACGATTACTCGAGAATGATGAGTCCCTCCTCCCAGAGCTCTGAAACCAGAACGCAATACTCAAATAGCACTTTCTCTGATGGTTTATGGGCTGACGAACAAGGTATCACGGAGGAATGCTTGATCATGGACTTCGAAGACGAGATCGGGCATAATACTCCAGAAAGTACTTTAGGTGAGAGCCATCACCAACTATCGTTTCCGGTACCTCTCAGTTACGCAGAAGGAGAGGGAAATGACATGCATGGAGAGCCAGAGAACTCGCCAGGTATCGATCAAGGTAGTCGTCATTTAATATCAGGGGAATTTAGTAATCAATATGGCGAGTTAATGGACACTATTGTTGATCCCGCTCTCGATCGGCTTGGCGAAGATGACCGAAGGGTTGAGGATAGTTTCAGAGAACCATCAGATAAGTGTCAGGGACATATAATTCCCATCGCTAACGAAAATGGCGTAAATGATGAGCCACTAAATATTGCCACCGCTGGTGATAGCAATCGTTCACAGGATTCATCGGAGTCCATCCCTAAAAATCAAGCTAAGAAATCAAGCAAGAAATCAAGTGATTTTGATCCCCACGCTCGCTGTATTGTCAAATTTTCTCATATTCTAAGACAGTTGAAGGAGCAATTCAAAAGCAAACTCCACGCCCCGTTCGATTGTGGTATCGAAGATCAGGAACTAATCGGAGTCATGCATGACGGTTTCAGGACCAAATTTATTCTAAGATGTCAAATGTGTGGAGTCGAGAGCGAGCTTTGGTCTGAAGTACTGGAAGATGATCATTTGGATATAAATCGAGCCGTTGTAGTGGCAACACATTTGATTGGTAAAGGACACGCAGCATTGCAAGAATGGACGAGTAATGTTTCAATTCATTGTCCAAGCTATAATAAGTATGAAAAATTGAGCGTTGAAATCGACGACATATTTGTAGAGATTGCTGATGAACAGATGAAGCTTAATGGCATTGAAGTGTGCACTATAGCTCGGCAAATGGGACGAATTATCAATGGGATTCCAACCTGCCCAATGGTCACGGATGGCTCCTGGTCTGTTCGGTCTTATGGTAATAAAGGCAGATCTGATTCAGGGATGGCCGTTGGTATTTGTCCATGGACCAAAAAAGTTCTGTTTGCGGGATACAGGAATCGATATTGCTATCGTTGTAAGCGGATTGAGAATGGTACTCTCCCACCCCACGACCATAGGTGCTGGAAGAATTGGCCAGCAGATCAGAGCATTTTGCCTGTTGAGAGTGCCATCATTGTAGAACACTTCAAGAATAGCAGAAAGGATCATGGCCTTATGTATACTGAGCTAATTGGAGATGGTGACAGCAGTGTTCATGCTCGGGTTGTGCAGGCAAACCCTAATGATGATATTGCTTCAGTCAAAAAAGTTGACTGTAAGCTTCATGTTGGTCGAGCCCGTACTGGCGAAATCAGGAGGGAGACTCTATCATTCAAGCCAGGTCGATCAGAAGAAGCCCAGAGATTGAAGTCGTTAGCTTGGAACTCAACCAGACGTATCAGCAAAAGCGTCACAGCAGCATCTCGTTATCAGAAAAGACAAGAGATCGAGCAACAAGAACAAGAAATGCAGTTGAAGAAAGATATCCTCAATATTATTGATCACGTCTTTGGGAATCATGAAGCGTGTGCTCGATACTTCTGCGATGGACAGGGTAAAGAAAGAGAGGTGAACTTGGTTCCCGCTCTCAAGAGGTATGGATTGTATGAACGCTTGAAGGAAGTAATGCGAAAATGGAGTCACAAAGCCAGTGATTTGTTGGAAGACCAAATAACGAATTATGCTGAGTCATTCAATGCTCTTTTGGCTAAATATAATTACCACAAGGGTGTAAATGTTCAGTTCAGAGGAGTGTATCCCGCTCGCATAGCAATGACTGTGATTTAATTTTCTACTCAAGCAATTGGAAGCATTTTCCATCTCAAATTGGGGAAAGAGCCACCTGCGCTACTCCAGGGGATGGAACTGCGGAGGCGAAAGAAGAATATTTTCAACAGGAGATACCGTAAAAGTAAGAAATCCCCACAACTTGCCTCTGGTCAAACGGATTTGATGGACAAATCTCCTGATTATGGTAAAAATCCTGAAAAACCAGATTTGGCCCTGCCTGACTATGACGAATCTGTACGAGCTCACTTGAGTACTTTAGAACAGTGGAATGATAATCGTGTACAGATTGAAGAAGATACTCGTCATGATCTCGATCTACTAGCTATGAAGCAGAGGAGAATCCTCTGCAGTGAACACTTCGGGCAGGTATGCAATATGAGAAAAACGACACCAACTGCTCCAACAGTTGCAAAGATTCTGTATCCTCCTATCCGGAAAAAAGCCATCCAAGAGCACGAGCAATCTGTGGGGGATCGGATCACTCGAGAAATACAAGGATTGATGAAATGTGGTCTATTCATCCATCCCGAATTCAAATTTTTAGGTTGCAAACCTGACGGTATGTTACCGAATGGTGGTATCGTCATTATTCATTGTCCATTCAATATTCGAGACAAAACAGTCGATGAAGCGATGAACACTGACAAATCAGGTCTCCAGAAGCTATTCAAGCTAGTTGGTAAGGATGACGACGGCAACGACTTGAGAGAACTGAATCGCAACAATCCACTCTATTTTGAGATTGTAAGAAGTTTGGCAATAACAGAGAAGAACTCCTGTCGGTTAGTGATTGCTACGTCCAAAACCTCGATATCTGTCGATGTCAAGAGCGACGAGGTATTTTGGTGAGAAACGATGATTCCAAAGCTTCGTACTTTCTATGAAGATTTCATGATCCCAGAGATTGTAGACAGTAGAAGGATGAGGAATATGCCCTTACGGGATGGCAAGCGCACCAAGAAGCCTTCTGTTGCGGAGGTAGCAGCAAGTAGGAATTCTCATGAGCAAACCGAGACTTTGGATGATAACGAGAATAATCAGGAATTAGAGAATTTTGGAGAAAACCATCATTCTCAGGTTCACTGCGAAAATAGGAATGATGGTGATCTGGAAAGTTCTCAACATTTTCCGGAATTCGATGACAGCATAAATCAAGAAGAAAATCGATCAATTGTGGAAGGTCTAATCGCATATGAACTGAGTGATCGCGAAATCAATATTCTACAGGGTCGTGCAGAATTAGAATCCGATCATTTCGATATATTGTGGCGGATAATAGGCGAAGTTACGGAAGGTCTTTACGCATTTCGACCTCTCCTGTTATTGCAACATTCTCTGGACCTAATAGAGCCTATACATCCATTGCAAAAACATATCCAAATTTTGAATCGTGGTGGAAACCATTGGGTATGTGCTTACTATGATACTGAAAGGATTTTTATTTATGACTCATTACTTTCGAAAGCACAAGACCGTACTGCACCTTACAAGGCAGTTCTTCGACAATTATTCCCAAAATATAAAACCGGTGAGTTACCAGTAGTTTTTCCGTCTGTACAAAGTCAAATTGGTTCAACTGACTGTGGGGTTTTTGCAGCTGCATTTGCGGTCAGTTTGGTGTATTCTCTCGATCCATCCCAAATACGTTATGATCAGGGGACATTGCGCCAGCATTATTTGAGGATTTGTCAGACTGGTGAGCTACGGCATTTCCGTTTCTGTGCGGTGATATTGCTATTCCTAACCTTCAAGATCAGATAGAACACGTATGGAATATGTTATACGAACGTTCTAATCACTAGGAGATATCCCTTGAAAGTTATCCGTCATCACACTATACCGACAGATACTGGGTGGTGCTATCATTATATTAGTCATATAATAACCCCACTTTCCACCAAACTGCTCACTTGATATGTAAGAGAAAATGGAAATCATATTGAAGACGGTATGCACCTGCTTGACAAGTAAGAACAAACTTCTTTCAGGTAGATTCCTGATGTAATAATATAGTTCGATCATTGACAAATTCTGAGTAGAGTGCGAATGAATGATGGCGAAATATAGTGCAGAGAGAACAGAAACGTGACATAAAATACAGAAAAATCGATGGCCACAATAAAAGAACATGGGTAGGAGGAAGCAACTGCAAACAGGACCTTCCAGTCGATGAGTGTAAGTACAGTAGACTCTCTGTAGCTCTCCATTTTCGGGAAGATGGATTCCAAAAACGGCAAGCTAATTTGCCTCTTCTGTACGTGTACGGGGCGTATCTGACAACAGAGATACTCTAACTATTCGAGCGAGAACGTTATAGCTATCCCCATGTCCTAAAACGCACCTCCCCTCTGGAGCTGTTACCCGTGCGTGACATCACGCACGTGGTGGGGGACGATCTTCTCCTCGCTCCGTGATGCCCGGAGAGCTAAGGACATGGAGAGTTAAGGAAAGTCGACTGTACTCTATACGCGTCAGTGTATCCCAGTATGGTGAAGATGTATGCAGAATTGTCTCTTATTATCCATTTTCAAAATAAACATCTTCGCGGGCGTGAGGTTGGAGCCTATATCTGGGATACGACTCAGTAGATATAATCCAACCGCATAGAAACAGCCAGCCCCCAAAAGTCTCATGTGCCAGGTGAAACTGCAGTATGAAATGTAGTATATATAATTTCACACAAATAGCAAAAGTTGAGGACATTTGTGACTTCACGTCACATAAAAATGGAAAGATTTGCTTTCTCATTCATGATCGAATATAAAAATAATAGGCTGTATAGTTATGGTAGACGAAGCACATGAGACATAATCCACTGAGGTGAATGACGTTAGCCTACCCATATTGACATTCCGGGTATTCATTTGTGATGAAAACAAAATCGCCATAAAAGACCTAAGCAATGAACACCATTCAACAGAAAAAACGTGGGAATGTCAATTATAAAAATATAAGCCTCTTAGTATCTCTGCACTGTGCGTTTCAGCCAAAATCTGCATTCTCCCAGAAATTATATTTTGAATAATAACCTGTGATGGATGGTGGTCGTATATCTACTTTATGTTCGGGAACGTATCATTGTTCAAAGCCGTATCGGAAATGAATCAAAACCTGCAAGTGAGGAGGGAGAAAATTCTTTGTCTTTTTTACAGCATATCTGAAATAGTGTTATCAGTTGAAGATGTTCACAAACTTTGATAACTTGAGATTTGGAAAGGAAAATGATCTGCACAATAGTTATATCCCCGAGTTCTCCCTCATCAAATGACCATAATCCATTCACAGAAAAAAAATCATGAATTTGCAAGTTTGTCCGCGATTGCGATCATAGCAGAAGAAAGTAAGAAGGTGTAAAGAGATAAAATTTTTTAAAAAAACCAAGTAGAAAGTCGGACAAATTTGTAAATTCATGATACTTGGTGACTGCATCTATGAGAAGAGGTCGAACTCAAACTTCAAAATGCAAACTTCACGCTGGGAGGATAAATATATTTAGCAAATCTTCGTTTGTTGTTTGACCATGACACTGTATTGGCAGTCACTCCTTCTTACTTTCTGATGTTATGATCGCAATCAATCTGTCCACGTTTTCATCTATTGTCATGCATAAATTTCTGTTTCGGGGATCCTAATCGTTTTCATACTGACACCTTTATTTCCGATTTTTAGAGTTTTCATCTATTATTAGTAAATCAAAATTTTCAGCTTCAGAGATCCCAATCTATGTCATATTGCCATGTTCATTTCCGATTTTCAGAGTTTTCATCGGCTGCTATCTCCTTATCTTATCTATCTACTCTTAGGAATTTCCAAATTTCTGTTTCAGAGATCCCGATCATTGTCAAACTTCCGTCTCCATTTTCGATTTTCACAGCCAAACAGTATATCCACGGGGAATGGAGCCGACTATTGTCAGTAAAATATGGAGGTATAGTGGAGGGCAGCGAATATACGGACAGCTCTGTATGAACTGGGACGGTCTGCACTTCCTCTCTGTATCATGGGCGGAGTTTCAGGTGGAGTTAGNAAGCCTCTTAGTATCTCTGCACTGTGCGTTTCAGCCAAAATCTGCATTCTCCCAGAAATTATATTTTGAATAATAACCTGTGATGGATGGTGGTCGTATATCTACTTTATGTTCGGGAACGTATCATTGTTCAAAGCCGTATCGGAAATGAATCAAAACCTGCAAGTGAGGAGGGAGAAAATTCTTTGTCTTTTTTACAACATATCTGAAATAGTGTTATCAGTTGAAGATGTTCACAAACTTTGATAACTTGAGATTTGGAAAGGAAAATGATCTGCACAATAGTTATATCCCCGAGTTCTCCCTCATCAAATGACCATAATCCATTCACAGAAAAAAAATCATGAATTTGCAAGTTTGTCCGCGATTGCGATCATAGCAGAAGAAAGTAAGAAGGTGTAAAGAGATAAAATTTTTTAAAAAAACCAAGTAGAAAGTCGGACAAATTTGTAAATTCATGATACTTGGTGACTGCATCTATGAGAAGAGGTCGAACTGTATGAGCAAACTCCTCGCTGGGAGGATAAATATATTTAGCAAATCTTCGTTTGTTGTTTGACCATGACACTGTAATGGCAGTCACTCCTTCTTACTTTCTGATGTTATGATCGCAATCAATCTGTCCACGTTTTCATCTATTGTCATGCATAAATTTCTGTTTCAGGGATCCTAATCGTTTTCATACTGACACCTTTATTTCCGATTTTTAGAGTTTTCATCTATTATTAGTAAATCAAAAATTTCAGCTTCAGAGATCCCAATCTATGTCATATTGCCATGTTCATTTCCGATTTTCAGAGTTTTCATCGGCTGCTATCTCCTTATCTTATCTATCTACTCTTAGGAATTTCCAAATTTCTGTTTCAGAGATCCCGATCATTGTCAAACTTCCGTCTCCATTTTCGATTTTCACAGCCAAACAGTATATCCACGGGGAATGGAGCCGACTATTGTCAGTAAAATATGGAGGTATAGTGGAGGGCAGCGAATATACGGACAGCTCTGTATGAACTGGGACGGTCTGCACTTCCTCTCTGTATCATGGGCGGAGTTTCAGGTGGAGTTAGGCGTGGCGAAATTCGGCTGTCCTCATCAAGTATTTTTTCGGAAATCAGTGTACTAATAAAAACAAGATGTAATGAATCAAAAAATTGACGCGTCATTTATTTCCATAAATCCTTCTCAATACTCGTTTTCACATACTTCCTTTCCTCCTTCTCTCATAGTCATCTCGTTTTCCTGCTGTTGATCAGAATCTCACGCAGACATTATTTTCATAATATTTTTCTCCAAGTTTCCCTCTACCATGGAATCCATTAGGTTTAGAGGAGTCACGATTATATTTTATCAACTCCGTAAAACTATTTCATTTGTCAAAAAACCTTTGTTATTGTCAGTTTATCTATGATCCATTATAAATTTACAAATTTAGGTTTTCCTTCTTAACGAATCCTCTTTGCTGAATGGAAAATTCATTGTGATGCTACACTACCTCAACAATTGAGCGAGCCAATGAATTTTTGAACAGCCGGTAGTTGGCTGCGTCGCTTGTCTGGGCGTTGAAATGAAAATTGTACTGTATGGCAAGACGTCAAATCAAGAATTAGAGGGCTCGTGTGATGGAATGAGGCGTGAACTTCACAAAAAGGTCTATGGTTCCTGGTAATTATTTTTTTACCTGGGCGTTTGCAATCGATACACAAGCACCGCCTTCGCTGAATCTCACTCACCACACACCGTGATGTAAAGTAAATGTGAAGTGTTTAGGTTTACGCACAAGAATTTTCTTTACGTACGACCTCTGCACTTGACGTACATTGTGCCAAAAATGAATACGTTATATGCACTAAGTCGCCCTGAAAAGAGATGTTCTCAGATAGGCATTCCAAAACCATTCTTGGAATATCTAGGAATCCATCAGACAGGCGTCAATGTGACCCTTTTATGACCATATGTCATTTTTGAGGACGCGTCATATGACCAAAAAATGATAGTCTTGTATGTTACGCACAAATTTCGTACTGAAAATGATAGTCGTAAATAATTTGTAAAGCAAATTGTTGAAATATCATGTAAATAGATACATAATGACCGCCGTAACTGATTTCTGATTTGTGACGGTCAGAAATGAAAAAATTTGTTCCATCCATAGAGATGAAAAATTATCGTGATTTCAATTCTGACACGCGCACGAGGGTAATGCGAAATGAATTCAAATCAAAATCGATGAAGAAAAAAATGACGTTGCATCTGTGTCGATGAAAAATGACCGTCATTTTTTCACGAAAAATTATGAGGGGCATAGAAGGGTGGGGGAAATTGTGACAGCTGTCATAAACGTCTCGTCTTATGACCGTCAAAAGACGAGTCATCTGACGCAATTGCACCGCTAACGCCCATATTACTTCCCTTTGAGTCATACGTCTGTCATATGACCTTCATAAGACCTCAACATGATCATCATATGACTCTCATTTGATTCATACAACCCCCATACGACCTCCATATGACCGTGGTATGACCCTCATATAAGTCTCCTACGACTCTAGCATGACTCATATGATTCTATATGACTCTCATATGACTCAGATTACCCTCATTGTGACCCTTATAACACTAATCATGACCATTGTGACCTTTGTTTTCGAGATTTTATTTTTTATCTCCATTTTCTATAGTCAGAAGTCGATTTGCAGTAATTATCGAGATTTTTCAATAATCATTCATGCTAATA